AAGCCAATAGCGCCATTGTCTTCAGAAATAATGTGATTAAATTTGTCTGCATGTTTCAAATCAGCAAAGCGGATTGAAGAATTTATATGGAGAAACTGCGTTGTGACAACATTAAGGTCATCATAGGAAAACAGATTGAGAAAGTGCACATAGAAATTTTCATATTTAATCTACACGATATAACCGTAGGGATACGAAGGCTTTGGACAATAAGTTACTTTCATCAATTCAAATGACTTTGGGTTGGGGAGGGGGTTGGGCCATAAAGTTAGAAAGAAATAATAATAAATCATTTGGATGGCTCATCAGAGAGACTGAATCTTCAAAGACACACACATAATTGGTAGCTGATTCATCAACTATCAAATCCACAAGCACCAGAATCTCTCGTTAGCACTGACCATTGGCACATATTAATCCAACCGTTGAAGTTTGAACAAGTAACTTTATGCATCGAATCTGTATATAATTCGTAATCAGATCTTCGCTTTTTAAATCGACTAATTGTGGTTGCTGAGCTGTAATTTAATTTGCATTTGGGATTAGTCAAAGTTGCTGTTATAACCTCAAAATCTCACGATATTTGGAGGAGAGAGCACTCGAATTTCTGTATACAAGTGGTGTTTCTTCTTTTCTGACGAATCAGTAGGAACGGACTAGCTAGCATCATTGAGAACGTGATTCGAAAGACATTTTGCATTGGTGAGGCTGGAAAAAGTGACCAAAAGACACCAATGGACTCAATTTTGAAACACCATGTTGACAGAAACATACCGTTTCTATCCATTATAGTGCTAAGAATCAAGAATGCTACGAATCTTCATGGATTGTGCAATAGATTTCTCATCCAGGGCTAACATTCAGAATTATTTTAATGTCTAGGTTGCTTGAGCAGCACAATTCTGTGTAAGCTTTGGTATCCACGTTGACGTGCAAGTGACCAAGGTTCTCTGTCTCAAGTCCTTCGCTGTTTAGTTTACGCTTCGCTCCCAACCCGTCATCACAAAATGTCAACCGATTTAACGAGATCGCCGAGTTTATGTCATGGATTGTCTATCACACGGACCGTTTCTTATTTTTAATGAACACTGTACTACGCGTTAGTAATTCCCCGTTGAATATATTAAAAAGGAAACTCCACTCTTAACCAGATTTTTAATGATTGCTACTATAGTGATGCATTTCGGACAATGCTATTTTGCTCATAATAAAGACTGCTTGGATGCGGTAGCGACAAGGAAGATGATTAGTTTAAAGAACAATTAAACTGCTGTTTTCGGTTGATGAAAGCCTGTATTATCTCAGTCGTATCTTTAATTTTCTAAACAATACACCGAAATTGCAAACAAATTAATTGGCTCAAACGGTGAACATAGTGGAATTGTAATAATTCGCAAATCTTAGTTGTCTTCTTCGAAAACGAATCGGGATTAAAATTATTCTTTATTTGTTTGTTGGGATAGAGTCCAGTGCACAAAACAGGAAAAGTTATGCATAACAACAAGACCTCATAACTTTAGAGGGGGGGGGTGACCAAATCTTATTTTATGGACCCACATCCCACACCAGCTGAGGTGAAATCTTTGGTGCTTGCGATCGATCGAAGTGGACCTGGCAAGATCCATGTTGCGGGAGTTGATAACTGCGCAAGCCACAGACTAACCAATAGAACCAGCTGCCGGCGAACTCATGGAACTATGCATGCAGACTTACTTCATATTTGAGGGCGACAAAACTACCGATTACTTCACAAGCCTTGACGATGTCATCGCAGTTAGTGATGAAACGTTTGCAACAAAAATTGCCAAGTTCGGCAAACAGGAAAAGTGGAATCAAGTTCACCCAAGCCACGAGAACCGATTATCAATACTTTGTCAACATATCCATTGTGCCTTCTCCTCAGCTTTTACCGTTCCCTATATGAGCAATACTAGTGCCATTCAACTGTATCACTATTGTCCTAGAAGTATTAGCTCTTCTGGTCCATTCCGGAAGAAAAAATCTTTTGATCTGTAACAGATGAACAATGGTTTGCACCGCTGATCAAAGACTTGCATCTAAAGCGTTCCGATCAGTATGCAGATGCTACAAACCAGTTGTCCCCTAGTTCAAAAACATTCCTGGATCAGTAGTAGGTGAAGCACAAATATAATGAATTGCAATCAATATAATTCTAAAGATAACTGGTTGCAGTAGTTGTAGTAATAGTACTAGTACGCGCTGAACTCGGAATACGAATCACGCAATACGCATCACGGAATAAGAATCAAGAATTAACAGTCACGGACTGGACGGGTGTCTACCAATGGCGTTCCAGTTCTATCTGGGTCGGACGGTTTCTGATTGGCTGGTACGATCTACCTATGGTATGTAGTCAGAAGCAGTGACACGTACAAACGTTGCTGCTGTCACACGTAAACTGTAACGCCTCGCTCCAGGGCACCCGTAATCTCGTAGGCCTGGATCACCGCACTAGTATAAAACAAAGCATTTACTCAAACAAACGATCAGGAAAATTGTCAGAAGCATTGTTGCCTTCACAATTTGTTTTTCATAGAAATCTTAAGAAACAGAGAGATAATCCGTAATCCCAAATTGCAAGCACTGGACCCGTAGAATACTTCGCAAAATACTACGCGGTCTCTGTGAATGCCTCGAATGTACATGATTTGGTTGAATTAATCATCCACAGTTACTTTACAGAATCTCCTGTTTATTTCCGACCCTTACAGGAAACACCAAATCAGGTCCACTGCCATTGGATCTCGATCCCACGGACAGTGTGATGAACGATTTGGATGAGGCGTCCAGATTGCTCGTGTGCAGCAAGCTGATCGGACTTCGAAAATTGTCGTTCGCCGAACTCATCTATCATCTGAATAGGTGACACCTGTTTGGAGCAACTTGATCGACAAGATCTACCGCTGCATTTTGGATACTCTTTTTACCTTTAAATATGTTATGACAATATCGTTAAAATGAGAATGAACATGACTCTTTATGGTTTTATACCGTGGAATAAGTCCATAAGAAGCTTGTGAAATATTTCCAATTAAAAAAATTATTTTCGTGGCACTGAATTCCAGTCAAAATGTTTATAGCTGGCTTTCAACTACTCTGGCTCTATCAGGTGCATAGTGCCAGGGCAATTATGTTTTTACACTGCTTGTAAATCTAACTATTATTTTTAATGTATCGATTATTCCCAGTGGTATTAGATAAAGAAGTGATGGATAGCAAAATGACGTGTTGCGCGTAGATTAAGATGTGCACAGTCCCACGGGATGGAACCGGAGTTGTGAACTCAAGTTTCACTACAACCCTACAGCTCTTTCTGTTCTTAATGCAATATGCCTCTGATTGCACACAGTTGCGTTTCTGAAGACGGAATTCTCGAGTGTACATTAATTAAAATAAGGTGAAAAATTTGAAACAGTCGTAAGAGGAGGAAGAGTTGGTTTTTAAATAGTTCCAAATAATATCCGATATAAACCCAGTCTACCGTGCTTTTGAGAACGTGTAATTCAGTTATGTAACATTTCGGAGAAGAAGTGGGTTCGAATATCGCCGAGATCAATCATATTTGTTTTGCAGTCTTTTTCCTTCAAACCAATAGATGCAACTTCGGGGATCTCTGACACACACACACACTCGGAGACCCTCGAGTTGGGAAGAGCTGAATTCTATCAAACGCCGCCCCGCCCGGCCCCGCCCCCCTCCTCCGTGTTATGGATAAGGGGATAACTTCACAGAAGAAGGGTGACTGTAAATAAGTTTTGACATGCCGCAACAAATAAGCAGTCGCAAACAAACAGCGGCAACACTACCGGGGTGTGTTGAGCTTCAGGCTCTGCACCTGGCTTCTGTTTAAAAGCCGCATAAGCCCAATGGCGGTGTCGCGACAAAGGTCGATGCGACTGGCCTTTTAAAACTAAAGTCAGAGACTCCACCCCTTCACTTCCGAGGCCAAGAGATTACTTCCTGCTGCATTGCAGTTCGCATTTGATTCTGCAAAGGCTGGAGGTGCGCCCTCAAAACAAAGAAAAACCTCGATTGACGCTGGGGACGTCTGTCGTACCAAACTCCCACGGATCTTGATCATCATGATCATGATCATGTCTGGAGTCGGCTTATCCTTTCCAAGGAGCCAGCCGTAGTAAAGTAAAGTAAGTACACACACACACACACACCTAAACCCTATTTATATCCCAACGAGTAGATGAAGTTAGGATAAATGTGAGCAATGGTGACGTGCCCAGGTCTAGTGCATTTCTTCAGGTCTCTTAATTGCATAGATTGTTCCATTGTAATAACACATGCTTAAAAAACCTTAAATATCCTATAAAGATCACCCCATTAGGAAGAGTTCTTATGTAACTGTATCTAATGAATGATGGCAAATTAGTTGCATTACACACATAAACATGTCGTTCAAATATTTAGCAGTGTTTTGGTCGAGTTTCTTAAACAAGTAGCAACGGTTCTCGTAAATGTAATACAAGTTTTGAGAGGAACAACTGTATTGAAAGTCAAGGTGTTGCAAGAGTTTGATCAATTTCCACACTTACAACAAAACACTTCTCTTGACGAGGTTCTTGACTTGTATAAGTTCCATAATGATTTACCATAAACTGTAAAGTGATAAGGGAAGAATTAAGGGATTTATTATGATGCATACTTTTTTGCTGACACAGTCATACAGGTTATCCACGTAATTTTCAGAAAGATCAGGCGTTACTGATTCACTTACCAGCAGTATTGCGTAAACATTGCCGGTCGACTTTATCAAAAATAGAAAACTACCTAGAAATCCGATGTCCCGCGAAGCGGTTACCGGATAGCATTGACATTAATTTATTGCGAGTTGCGGGCAAAGCTTTTATACGGTTATATTAAAGTTTCAAGGTCACCGTTTTATCGTCGGACTTACTTACTAGCGGTTGCTTTTCTTGACCCATAAGGTTTCCCGCACAAATGGATCGATTTGCAGTTCATATAGAGATAAGGAATGTCACAGTATTTGTTTTTCCGTTTCTTGCTACGAATGTCGAAACTTAAGACTGGGCAAAGTTTAACCCAGTTTATGCTTGGAAGCATCAATTGTGGGAGCAGGAACAATGTGAAATGATAGAAGATTCTAAATACTGCACATTCTGGGGCAAGTGATGGACGCCGGTACTGTATTCGGCACTTTTGGAGCACTAATTTGAATGAGTGCCCCCGGGGCGCGGGTGAGTTTTGGGCGACACGGTGCACAGTGAAGGACATGGGTTATTAGGGTTCTGAATGTTTTGATACACCAAAATAAATTCCCCTCAAATTCGTCCATACTGTTTTCAGTACAATCCCAATGGTTACTGACTTTCCGCACAAGTCTTGGAATGCAGNGACCATTTTGATAGCCATTCTTTGTGGACATTCCAGAATCTTATGATCACGTTGTACCCATGGATGGCCTATGCGGAGTTGAAATTAGACTGTTGATAAATGCGGGAACAGCATGTATTTGACTTTTGCTAAAAACTACCTTTAGTGAATCAGCACGTTTTGCGGCGGTGGACGACGTCCAGAAGTAGTTTAAAGGGTAAATTAGATCGTCTTGAACGATACCACCGGGATCCATCTCATTCGAGCATGCGGAAAATGCTGATATCCCGGGAAGCACACGAACCAAGTTTTGTAGCCCAGGGTTACGACTGTACATTTCGATGCATTGAATTCGATGTTATTTCGATCGACCATTGATGTGTTCTCCGAGGTGCCAATGGGTCCTCAGGTTCTGTCACAATGTCCTTCATACGTTTCCATCTTCTGTAAACAACCATTTTTGACCCCAGAATTTCAGTTAGATTCTTCATGGAAACCAGATAAAGTTGAGGGGTAAGTACCTAATGTAAACAGTAATCTAGATTCAAATGCCATGGCAATGTTTGTGATAACCGATATAAAGCATGGTAAAGCTGTTTCGTTCTGTTTGGCCACTCATCAGCACTGCGTACGTTTTATGGCCCTGTCAAGACTCGAACCGCAAACATTCGGGTTGGGACTTTAAACCCTTAACCCTGAACGATCTCCCGAGGAGTGTACCCAAGACCATCAAGAGTGTCTTGTGCCTTTGAACAACAGAATGCGGTAATCCAAGCTTGATAATCTAAATAATCTGGATTACATGCGATCAAAACAGCAAATCCTCGAAATGCTTATACGTGATTAACCGAGTAAAATTGCACAGTCGAAAGAAACAAAGGTAGTAAACGCGAGCAAAACCTATCCAAACAGTCAGCGATCACAATTTTACATGTACTATGATCACGACCAGTAACACAAAGCAAAGTAATAGCTTAGGCGTTGTGTATGGGGAAGGAACTGTACCACTGAGCCAGAGGTCAACACCTTTAGTGGTTTTGAGTACAATACACAGCGTCAAAGACCATCAATCTTAGATTTCCTTACAGTTATCTTGTCCATGATTAGAGTGATCACGAATAATTTAGTGGCTTTATTCATCCCAATGTCACTGTGTTTGTAGCAGATGGTTGGAGATTTGCCCCAGAGGACAATTTTTATTTGAAAACGAAGAGAAACAATAATGTTGAACGGTGGATCAACTGGACAGGCATACAAGTTCAGTCTCCCTATTCCGCAATCACCAGGCTGTGAATGAGTTCTTCAGTCATATTTGGTAGCAACTAGATGGATAGATGCATGGATTATTTCCACATTCAGGAAACACATAGGTGTTTCAGCATCGAGCAACTCTCGTCTTTTTATCTAATGACCCGGATTCTGGCATAAAAGCCCAACTCACTTGCGATAGTGTGTAGACGACCTGTGGTGATCCCAGGCTGCGAGATAACGCATACCCTTGAGCGACGCGTTTTAGTTTTAAGACAACTGTGATCAATCAAGCTTAATGGGTGCCGTCAGCAAAACATACACCTTCTGGACTGCATACCATAGGTCGATCGTACCAGCCGATCAGAAACCGTGCGGCCTAAACACAAGCTGAACAACGGCAGAAATGCTAAAACACGATTGGTAGAGGACCGGATGATCAATTAGTTTGTTCTGTACATATTATTTAATCCCCCTTTCAATGAACGAACTACTACTCCTGTGGTCTTTTCTTCGCGTCTCGGTTACGTGAGATATTGCGCGCAGGTGCCACTGTGCTTATGTGACGTCCGTTACTGCTAATCCGTGATTGGTGTTTTGTGTTCATTGCGTGCTACCCCTACCATTACTACAACCACTACAAGACCGTTCGATTTTTAGGAGCATGAAGGGAAACTGGTGGTTGTTTGTGTGTTTTTCTTTGTTGGTTTCACACACACACACATTGCGCCCTGAATCGATTTTGAAATTGTCTGAAGGTAATAATAGTGCAAATGAACATCTGTCTTATCCTATTCGTTGGGAGGAATCAGTCACATCTATATGGGAAATGCGAGGCTAGTAGCAAATTCAGTCTGCTTACACAAGTTGCGTTTGTAACTTGGAATGGCAACCACTTTAGCAAACCCTTCTGGCGGATCCAGACTCTAGAGACGTTCCTGGCAATGCAGAACGTGATGGGCGGTAGACTGGATACGTTAGACGCAAAACAAACCTTCTGCACATGCTATGCTATCCGAGTAGGCAGATCATCGTCTTTCAGGTCTTCCGTCGTGCTTAATATTGCAAGGGTAAACACACAAGGGGATAACTGAAGAATCGGGTTTGTCTAGATTAGATTCGATGAGCAATTGGCTGTACTAGCCTGCGCGGTACCCGACTATCATTTTGTTCACCTTTTCAAGGTATGGACACAAAGAGCTGTTTTCTTGGAGGCGGTGTCACTCTGATTTTGTTTATTCAAAGACCCTACAAATGAGCAATAAACAAATT